TGGTGGTACTGGGGTTTGAACTCAGGGCCTCATACCTCACATACATGTTTTTACCATTTGAGCCACTCTGCAGCCCCCAAATGTGTAAAATTTTTATAATATAAAACAAATTCACAAGTTACTCTTTTTTGTAGAGAAATAAAACAAAAAGTATAGTAAAATGTTAAAAAAGTTAAAGTACATTTTTAAGTATAATTTTTTTTTTTGGTGGTACTGGGGTTTGAACTCAGGGCCTCATACCTCAGACACATGTTCTTACCATTTGAGCCACTCTGCCAGCCCCCAAATATAAATTTTTATAATATAAAACAAATTCACAAGTTACTCTTTTTTGTGGTGCCAACGTTTGAACTCAGGGCCTACACCTTGAGCAACTCCACCAGCCTTTCTTGTGATGGGTGTTTTCGAGATAGGGTCGCTTGCACTATTTGCCCTGGCTGGCTTTGAACCACAATCTTCCTGATTGCTGCCTCCTGAGGTCTAAGCCATCAGTGTCCAGCCACAAATGCTAAATAAATATCTGGTTAATAAATTCAGACTCAATACCTCAAGACTTTTATTTATGTCCTTTGAGAAAAGTTCTTGTTATGTATCCCAGGCTTACCTTGAACTCACGATCCTCCTGCTTCAGCATCCTGAGTGCTGGGATTGTATTCATGTACAACTGTACCTTGCTGCCTCCCTGTCCAAATTTTTGATATTTAAAATGATACTCATAGTCAAGAAGTTTGGGAATCAGTATTTTAATGACAAATAAGTTTACTAATCAAAATGAGCCTGAGGACCTCTGATTTGATTTGGATCTGCCTGTCCACTGTCACTGATGATAACTGGCTGTGATCTTATGGGGTTAAAGTTATTCTCGAGAGTAGGCCTTAAGTTTGTGGCTAAGGAGCACAGATGCTTCTGTGCTGACTCACTGTTCCTACATTTTGAACCTCAGTAGGCTGGGGGTATGGATGGTTGGTTGGCTACACAGGCAGCAAGCATCAAACTGATGTGTTCTTTTCTAAGTGTACAAGACTGACCTGGAGAAGGACATTGTCTCTGATACATCTGGTGACTTCCGCAAGCTGATGGTGGCCCTAGCAAAGGTTGGTTTCTTGGTTTATTTCTTTGTCCTCATTACCTGTCAAGGCAAGCTACATAGCTCATTTTATTCTTGGGAGTGAATTAACTAAATCCTCTGTGTCTGCATCAGATATTCTGCTGCATTTCCCATGGAGCGTTTGCACTGTCACTGCAGAGTTGTTGTTTTGTATAATAGGTTTTTTTCATCCTGCAAAACCACATGGACAACTGGACTTTGAGGGCCAGAGAAGAAATAGGTGCCCCTCAAGTGCTGGCCTGGATTTATGTGCCAACCCTCACTGTGGGGCCCAGGGAAGATCATTTTACCTCTATCTGTGGCTACACATTGGAAAGCGACCCTCTTGTTTTTTAATGAGAGACTTTGCCCAGGGAGTCCTTTGCCCATGGAGTGGGGCCTTTGTGAAGCTGATTGCTAACCCTAACACATGAATACTGATGAAAGAAATTTATTAATCTGAGTTCTGGCTAGTGTGTAACTGAATAATCTACTTTCACCACTTCACTTCCCTGACCCAAACCCATTTCTGCTATGCTACATCAACTGGGGACTGTGAGCTGCCTTCACTCTACCTTCAGCCTCTTCTCTGGGATTCTCTCTTACTCCTTTGTGCTCTGATTGGGTCGCACTTCACTCATGAGTGCCCCACCTCCACATGTGCAGTCCCTCTTCAGCAGAGTCCCCTTCCCCAGACCAACTTCCTCATTCAGGGTTCAGTTGAATCCCCATCCTGTCACTCTCGGACTCTGACTGCAAGGGCTCCTCCTTCTTTTGTACGTCTTCTTAGTTATCATGTCATTTTACCACTTGTTGAGGGCTAATTTCTCCATGTGGTTGTAATCTCTGAGGGAAAGAATGGGGTGAGGATTTTGTAAGTACCAGGCGGATGATGGTGAGGCACAGCCACCTACCTCACTCCCTTGTCTAAACTTAAAATGAAGAAAACTAAGTGGGTGTTCAGGAAATTAAATAGTGGCTTACTTGAGTTAGGGATAAAACATTTTTGGTTTTAAAATACACAAAGAAATGGACTTCATTTTGTTTTTGTTTTTTCTTTCTGTAGGGTAGAAGAGCAGAGGATGGCTCTGTCATTGATTATGAACTGATTGACCAGGATGCCCGGGTAAGTGCTAAGCTTCTTGGTTTTAGTTTCTGTTTTCTGGGAAATCTCTGGAGTATCTGTAATAGTCCTCTATTTCTGTGTAATAAATTGTCCCTAAACTTAACAGCTTAAACCAAACATCACTCAGTTTCTGTGGGTCAAGACTATCGGGGCATGACTTTGTCAGGTATTTCTGAGGGTCTCTTGTGAGGTTATACACAGTGTTGGCCAGAGCTGTGTTCACCTGAGTGCTTGACTGAGTCGGGGGTATCTCCTACCAAGATAGTGCACCCATATTACTGTTGGTTGAAGACCTTAGCATCTCTCCATGTGGCCCTCTGTACAGGGTCAATTGAGTGTCCTCACAATATGGTGGCTGACTTTCTTCAGAGGAAGTGATCTAAGAGTAAGCAAGGAGGAAGCCCTTTGCCTTCTCTGATCTAGTCCCAAGAGCCACACACTATCACTTCTGTTGTGTTCTGTTCGTTAGAAAAGAGTCAGTGGAAGAGGGATTAGGCTCCACCTTTGGAAAAGAGGAATGTCGAAGAATTTGTAGCCATGGCTTAAACCCACAACCATCTGCAAATAAGAATTTCATTTTACTTTCTGGAATTCATATTTATTAGAGTCTATTTCCTTGTACTATACTAGATCAGCACCTGACTTACGTACACTCACTTAGGCTTTGCCTGTATGAAAGTAACAGTTTTTGCTAGGTGGGATAGGCCTTGTACACCCGTACAGCAAGTGAGTTGGGAAGCAGAAGAAAGTGCAGGGAGGAAGGCTTCCTGCTCTACTGTGGTGGAAGCAAGGAGGGCAGCAGTGGCCCATCCTTCTTTTCTGGCTAGATAGAACTTTGCCATTGTCACAGAGAACTACCTGTGATGCTGATTGAGATAGCTATAAACTATACGCTATCTCCGGAACATCAATGGTGATCTCAAAGCATGTCATAACACCTGCAGAAAAAATTAACTTAAATTTATGTTAGTTTTAAAATGCAATCTATTTTGCCCAGTACTTTTAGTAAAGGGTAGAGAAGGGGTTTAAATGTAGCAATAGAGGGCTGGGTGTACAACCCAAGTGGTAGGACATCTGCCTAGCAAGTGCAAACACGAGCACTGCCAAAAATAAATAGATAAACAAACAAACAAATACAGTAGTAGAAATTAGACTTAGCAACTCCCAGATAGTGGAGGATCTCTGAATATCTTCCCTTGGGTAAGCGCTCCCTCCTGTTGACCTTCCTGCTATTCTTAGCATTATTTGCAGTCTCTACATTTTCCAGAAACTAAAAAATAAGGTTGGATAGTCTCCTTTTCCTAATCCATCCATCATTTCCTGAATTTCTAAGAAGCTTGGACAGGGGGGCCTGGTCTGAGACTGTCTTCAGTAGATGACTACTAGCTTATCTACAACTAAATGTGCCCAAAGACAGGAGGCCAGATGTGCTCATGAATTTCAGCCTGCCCTTCTTACATGAGTAAAAGCTCTCTCTATATGAAATGCTCTTGGGCTTTCCTTTCATCTTCGAGGACGGAGAATTGCACAGTGCCAAACCTCATGAACAATCTACAGTCATATATTGTATCTGTCTGTGCCTGAGGAAGATTGCTTGTGATTAAAATCTTGACCTCAGTGGTACATTTTTGGCCATGTCTGCAGTGCAAGCATCCTTTCCTACTCAGCATTGTCAATGCGTAGCTTCAGGAGGAGTCGCATGACATTTCTATGCCCTTGCTCTGGATTGTGTAGTTAACTTTTCCTGTGCTCACAGGATCTCTATGATGCTGGAGTGAAGAGGAAAGGAACCGATGTTCCCAAGTGGATCAGCATCATGACGGAGCGGAGTGTGTGCCACCTCCAGAAAGGTGGGTATTGGGCTGAGGAAGTTTAGTGCTTAGGGGCTGTCAGCGGGGTGGATGGATGTCTGGCTGGGGCTCACTCTCACTTGGCATTCCCATAGGCTCCCCTGGTTTCCTTCGCCAAAGCCAGGTGGTCTCCTGCACGTTCTAAATCCCTCTCTCCCCTAAATCTCATCCATGTTGTGTACTTTAGTTTTCTTCCCTTTCTAGTTTGAGAATAATTTTATCTTACGGTATTTGTTGAAGTAGAGAACTTGGCTGGGTGCTCTGTACTGTTTCTGATGGCTTCCAGATGTAACGGGTTTCAGTCAGGGGAGATGGAGGTGGTCACAGTCTGTGGCCTGGGCAGTGCCCTTTGGAACAGGTGCATGACTCAGTTCCTCTAGGACAGACTAGTGTTCCATGACAACCTCTGACCTTCTAGGAAGTGATCTGTGATCTTCTTCATTTTTTTCTGTCATGGTACATAATTGTATGGGCGATAACTGCAGCTTTGACTAGTGGCTGTGATATAATAATTACTCCTTGCCTCCCCCAGTATTTGAAAGGTACAAGAGCTACAGTCCTTATGACATGTTGGAGAGCATCAAGAAGGAGGTCAAAGGAGATCTGGAAAATGCTTTCCTGAACCTGGGTAAGCAAGTATGGCCATGGCTCATTCCTAGTGGCCATGGCTTTCAGAGGACAGGGCAGAAGCAGAGGGATCAAATGGCCGTTATCTTACTGCAAGGGTGTTTGGGAGGGTGGCTTCTGTATTTCATTTGGATACTTTTATAATCTTAACTATATAAATTTAAGGACCTGAAACTGAAGAAGGGTGTAAATTAGTAGAACAGAGAGTTGCCAAGGAAGAATAAGACAACAAGAGAAGAGAGAGCTGTGGTGGGGAACATCATAGATGCACTTGAATTTCTGCAGCCCTGGGAGTCCCTGGTTGAAAACCACAGTGGGGCTTAATAGCTCAGAGGATTCTGTAGCCCATGTCTATTGTGTCAGGTTATTTCCAGTTGGTGTCTGGGGTCAGGGCATCATCTCCCTTTGGTGCAGAAGAGAACAGTGCTGCACCCCTGACATTCTCCCTTTCTCCACAGTCCAGTGCATTCAGAACAAGCCCCTGTATTTTGCTGATCGGCTGTACGACTCCATGAAGGTAAGGGCAGCCAGTTGAGAGACCCATGTTTCCTTACTAGGTTCTTCTTTTGTGCACTAAACTAAGTCCCCTTAAAGAGTAAATAGAGGAAGGAGAAGACTCCAGTGTGTGGATGCAGGAGCTCACTGCCAGTTGTAGTTGTGTTTGACAAATGAGAAAAAGCACAAATCCATCTTATCTCCACTGCTCAAACACGTGTTTGGGAATGGGTAGAAAATAAAGTGCCAACAGCAGGAGAAAGTGTTAGGTGACAGTGGCATCTGATTCCTGTTGGAGACATTCAGTGATTTTCTCCTGTTACCCCCAGAATGAAGACAAGCGAGGATGGAAAGAGCAGTGAGCACCCACTGTGCAATAGCTGTTCCTTCCTTCCCTTAGTCCTAGTAGGAAACACTGTGGGGATTAGATTATTGTCCTTGTCATAACAAGGAGACTGGAGCTTCCAGAGCCTCAGCCAGTTTGCAGTTACATAACAGATTTCACCCTGCTTCTGTCCAATGACTCCATAGCCAGCCCTGCATCTCTCCCCATGTGAACCATCTCTTCCCACAAACCTATCCATTTGCCATGCCTCAAATGTGCCTGGTGTCTTCTGACTTCCAGGCCCTTGCTGCTTCTACCTGGGGCACCTCCCTTGTCCACAGGGACTTTCTGCTATCTCACTTGGTTCCTGCATCACTCGTGGCCCCTTCCTTGGTGTCTATGGCCTGAGGCTCTGGAAGTACACTCAGGTCTTTGCTGCCCGAACCATTTCCATTGGCACAGTGCCATGAAAAGAAATGTGTTGGCATGTCCTGTCTAAGCCTCTGAGAACGAGCAAACTTTTGCTCTGTATGCAAACATGCAGACTTCTTGAGCCTTGGCTCACACTTGCAGAACTCAGTAAATGTTTTTTGAATGCACAGAGTGGATGTCTATACTGACTAAATTCTGGTGTGTATGGAATTCCAAAATGCTCGTTTCACTTTGTGTGTTTGTTTTTAATCTGTTTAAGATAGGGTCTCCCTCTGTATCTCTGGCTGGCCTGAACTCACTATATAGCCTCGGCTGGTCTCAAACTCACAATCCTCCTGTCTCAGCCTCCTGAGTGCTGGGATTACAGGAATGAACCATCCTGCACAGCTTGTTTGCAATTTCTTAAGAGGATGATGTCAAGAACTACGTATTTGCCAGGAAATGTATAAGGTGCTTTTGAAAATGATAACATTGCAAGGGAATTTAACTTAGAGCACCAACTTAACTTTCAGGGCAAGGGGACTCGAGATAAAGTCTTGATCAGAATCATGGTCTCCCGCAGTGAAGTGGACATGTTGAAAATTAGGTCTGAATTCAAGAAGAAGTACGGCAAGTCCCTGTACTACTACATCCAGGTAAGGCCTGTGCTGCTAGGTCAGCTCTACCCGGCCATCCAGAGGGCCTGGGTCCCCAAGCAGGTGGCCGGTCAGAAGAGTGGTAGAATGGTGAAGAAAACCACTAAGTGTTCTACTTCTCTGGGGAACAGATGCTGGTCACTACATATCAGGGATATGAAACACTATTTATGATTTGTTCTGGACTCTGCTAACTCAGGCCAGGATAATTGGTGTTTGTGACAATGATCCTGCAAGACTTGATAACATCCTAAGAGACTTTGAGGGCCAATTAAAGTTTATATTCTAATATACTTCTATTTCTTGAAAAATCCTCAGAAAAACTTGACAATGTGTAGTTACCCAGTAGTCCCAGCTCTTCTATCAATTTAGTCTCTGTGCATTTTGCAGTGCTGGGACATTAGGTGAACAAGACATGCCTTTGCACTGATTGCACTAACAATGATATCACTGTGTGTAGTTCAGACAGGCTTTGCAATCCTTCCTTCCTTCTTTCCTTTCCATCCCTCTCTCTTTCTTTCTACTGGGAATTGAACCCAGGGCCTTATGTGTGCTAGGCAAGTGCTCTATCACTGAGCTATATCCCCAGCCCCTTTTTTAAACTTTATTTTGAGACAGGGTCTCACTAAGTTACCCAGGGTAGCCTGGAACTTGTAATCCCCTGCCTCAGCTTCCCAAGTAGCTCGGATTACAGGCATGTACCAGCATACCTGATAGAAATTCTCCTTTCTAAAAGGTCCGGACAATTCCAAAGGCGTGTCTTGGTCACTGAGGATAAAGTTAGGGATGGGTGTGAATACTGAGGTTTATTCGGACATGTGTTTAAACTTGAAGGACCAGTAGACTCTTTGTAGCTGTTTCCTCATCTCACTAGCTTAAGAATTTTCAAAACAAGAGTAAGGCAGAAACATACCTTGTCCTCTGTGGTAAGTTAAGGGGTGGAAGGAAAGTGAGGGTGTTTGTAGGAACCCTGGGAAGGAAGAGTGGGACTTGAAAGTCTCCTAAGTACCTTCTCCTTTTGGGTCATGGCATGGGTGTGGCTTTCTAGTATTGTGTGGGGGGAGGGCCTGCAGAATCTCTGCAGTGCACCGAGGCCTCTCATAGGTCACTGTGGAGTTTCCTGATACCATATTTCTCTCTTTTCCATGCCACTTGTAGCAAGACACCAAGGGTGACTATCAGAAAGCGCTGCTGTACCTGTGTGGTGGAGACGACTGAAGTGCGATATGCCAGCAGCACGCAGGCATGGCTCTGTCTGTGCTCCCACCTAACGTTCTGGAGAATTAGCTTGCGACTAACAGACCCCTGAGCCCCTCCTGTGAAGGTGAAGTTAGCATTTGTCCCTTCCCCCTATTTTAGCTGCCTAAGCATTTCCTGGCTTTCCCATCAGTCTCTCCTTTTAGCCAAAGAAATGAACATTCCAAAGAATTGGAAATGAAGTCTGTGATGTGAAACACTTTGCCACTTGTGTATTGTGTCGTGAATAAACTGAATTTTTACTTTAGAAATGTTACTCTGTTCACCTGGCTTTCTGTTTAATTGTTTACAGATCTAACATGCTTTGAATTGTTTTGTTCAACTAATGCTGAGATTGTCCCTGGAGGCACAAAGCTCTAGAGCCCACATGACAGCCATTATCAGATGTGATTATTTAAGTATAAATGAATTTCAATTATACAAAGTTGAAAATTCAGTTCTTGGGCCAGGAGTTTAGCTCAGTGGCACAGCACTTGCCTAGCGTGCATGAGGCCCTGAGTCCCATCCCAGCAGCACAAAAAAGAAAAAATATTCAGTTCTTCTGTCATGCCATCCACACTTCGCGTGCTCAGAATCCACACATGGTAACTAGAGTGCTGGACAGCATAGGTGACGCACGTTGCCAATGGTACAGAACGTTCTGTTGGGCTGCTCTATATGGCCAGTCTACTTGAGGAAAATTCCCAAGTGACTACTCATGTGCTCATCTTTATGCAGGCAAATTAGGTGAGAAGAAGTGTTTGTGGTGGCCACAAACTAGGAAGAGGGTTAATGTAGGATGGTGAATTCTATTTAGCAAGTATTATAAGACTTCCAGACATAAATAATATCCTACCTCAACTCCAAGAACCTACCTGCCAGTGAGCCAGGCTATAGGATCCTTGCAAAACAGGGCTAACCAAAGTGGATTGGGAGAATGGAAGAGGAAGTGAGGGCTTTACGGGGAGGATGAGGCAATATGACATTAGAAGGAAGCATTAGAGATTCCTAAGACCTTAAGTGAAATTTCACTGCTGGGAGGAAACCCTCACTGCAGATTCTTATGGTTCAGACAATGAAGAATGGGTCATTCATACAACTGGTACACCTTCCAAAACGTACAACTGTAACTGAGAAAGGATTCTGCTGCTGCTTGATAAAGCCAGTCACTCAGAGACTGAGTGTGTGAGAGCCTAATGAAGGAGGGAGGGAGGAAGAGAAAGAGGGAGAGGGAAAAATGAGGAGAGAGAGAGAGAGAGAGAGAGAGAGAGCTAGTAAAAGGGGAGGAATATTCATGTCTTTTCCAGGAAATTTTTATGCCTTTTATGGTCTGGTGTTTTTGTTCATGGCTAGTAGGAGTATTTAGCTTAAAGTTTAAGGCTTCAAAGGAGACACACACAATATGAAGATAGAGATGTCAAGTCTTTTCAGCTTCAGTTAGTAAGCAGATGTCTGCAGGTCTAAGTGATGGGCTAGTTTTCAGCAAAAGGGACCTTCAAGTCCCTGAAGAGTAACCTAGGCAACTGTTATCATAAAGCACACAACAGAGGTGTTATCTGCAGCACGACTAGTGGGAGACTCATAATGTATGATCTCCGAAATGAGTGATTTGTAAGCCAACTCAAAACAAACAAAGCTAGAGAGTATATTTAGGGTTTTCTTCTTAACACAACAAAGATTAGCCTCCTGCTAATCTCAGCCCAGCGGTCAGTGGTCTTCCCTAGAGCCACCAGATTTCTGTACATCTTTGTACAAATAGACGGTGCATAGCAAGCCTGTAGTACATTTATGCTACCACTTATGCTTATAAATGGAAGACTCTGGTTGTAGGCTATAGCCCACTGCCCTGTGGACTGCATATTGCAGCACTTTCCCCCAAAAAGTGAGGGAGAGAAGTGGGTGACCCCTGATAAGCCCGTCTACATTTCCTCCTCATCAGAGGATGTGTGTCATCGCTAAATCTTGATACCTGGCTGCTATAGCACAAACTCAGTGTCTGAAGTACTAAGCAGGTAATAGACATAAGCATGAAGTGGGTTGGCTGGATGGAAGTGGAGAGTCTAGAGAAGTGGAGGCCACTTGCCCTGTGTCAGGCTTTTAGATTCAGAAAAACAACTGCAGTTGCAGCAACTGTGCTGACCAAACCAAATAGATCTGTAAGCCGATTGGCTTGCTATTGTGACCCCTTGACAAACTTTAGAGGGAATTTGGATGGAGTGTGGCTTTTGGGTCACTAGTGGCCCATAAAGTGCCCCTAAGGCCACTAATAGATTCTTTCAAAAGGAAGTTATGCAAACATAGGACATTTAATCAAATGTGACCTCCTGCGCACAGTAGAACCAATGCCCCAAATCCCAAAATATACTGTTCTGTGTGCTTAGGGCAGAGTTCAAGGAACTGCATAAGAAGCAGGACCTTTCGATTTAACCCCAAATTATCATACTGAACTGAGAATTGATAGGGCTGGGCAGAGGCTGTCAGGAGTAATAGTTCAAATTAGGAAGTATTTAGGCTTTCTTTCCTCTCTCCTTTCAGCTGTGTTTCAGGCTGCAAAAGGAAAGGAAGAGAAGGCTATGTGAGAGCCTGGAGAGGTTTCTGCCCCAGTCCTGGCAGGGACAACCTGGCCTCTGGTCTGGATGGCTTAGACCCATAGGCAGGTGAGGGAAAATCTAAAGTGCAGCCTGGCACAGGGAAGGCTCTGGAAGACAGTTCTAAAGCTGCCTGCTGTCTCTCCTCTGTGGAGCCATGGCTGTCCAATGTTTTCTAAAACCTACAGCACAGGAACTTGGAGTTTGGTCTCATTTTCTTCTGGATTCTAGCCTGTCCTCTTTAGTTGAGCTGTCTAAGCTATTTCTCAAACCAAAGACAACCATCTGGAGATCTGAGTATTTTCCCAAACAATTTTACTTTGCAAAGAGAAGGGAAAGAGCACCAAGAAGACTTCAACATTTTGTGAGCTGATCACAACAAAAAGTTTGATTTTATTCCTTGAGAAATAAAAGACAATGGATGTGTAGTATAGCCATGGAAACACTGCATTATGACATCTTAAGAACATGATGTCCCTGCCCCCCGTGGCTGGAGTAACAGGGCTAGGGAGGGCTGTCATGTTGCACAACTTGACGTATTCTTCACATTGTAGTCGGTGCATGGAGTATTTCTTTAGATGTGCAGCCCAAGTGGTCAAACACCATGGTGACCACTAGGCATGTGCGAAATGGCCTATCAGGCTTTTTGCCACAAAGTTGACACTTACAGTAAAAAGTAAGAAACAAATCTTGGAAATTGATGGACGATGTCCTTAAGATCCCCACTTTCCATGGCTTCTTGATTTTTGGATGCATTTTACTGGGCAGTTAGGCAAACGACTATGTATGTGAATTTTCCCTTGTACGCGAAGCTCCTGGGGTGAAATTATTAGTAAAGACAGATAAAGCAGGAAAACCAGGCTCACAACGTAGCAGCATTTAGCAAGAAAAATGACTTGAGGACAGAAATCTTTTAAATCAATTTTTAGTCTTTAAATGACTCCAATCTCCCGGCCTTATCCCAACGTTTTGACAAATGACTTCGGCTTCTTCCCCACATCAGTTTATTTGACCTCCTTTTTCCATCAACTACCGAGATGAAAACTCCACCACAAGAGAGAAGAGAGAGAGCAATTTTAAACATCCCTTAGCAATGAGGCAGAACATGCTGTAGCCATCAAGTTCGAGTTGTTCATTCTATTTATTGAAAAAAGCCTGTAGCCTGATTTCTTTTATGCGAGTACATTTGAGCAAGCAAAGTTTATAGAGATGACTTATCTCATTACATTAGAAGAGTGATTTGCTATCTCAGCATCTATAAGCAATTTTAACAGACATTTGTGGATGAAGAAAAGCTTTTGTAAATATATGCGAAAGACGCGATTTCATCAAGCATTAAATTGGAGGTGCCCTGGAAAAATATTACATTTGTGCATTCAATTAACTTGATTGTGGCTGAATTTTGTCCACTGAAGGCAGCATTTCTGCAGAAAAACAGAAGCATTCCCTATGTCAGCAGGTTTCCTGAAACAGAAAAGCACACTTTTCCCCCTTGCGCATCCTCTTTTGCATTTGTGCTGTTCCCAGATATGCGGTCCTAATCAGGCCACTCCGCCTGGTTCTTCACAGTGGAGTTTGAGGGGAGAATGAACCAGGCTTTATACAGGCCTTGTAGAAACCTAAACCCAACTATCCCAGTTTAAATAGCCTGCTTTTCTGGTCTGAAAACTAAGCAACATTGAGACATGGTCAAGAATGGACATGTGTCCTGCAGACCTCCCTCTTGGCTTCTGCAGAGCCTCTCTCTCTGAGGACCTGCAGGATGTTCTGTGTCCCGTGGTCTTGCTGCTGGCCCATGTGTCTTCCCCAAAGGTGAGTCATAGATCAACATTACCTTCTGTCTTAGAATGAAAGCTTTGGCCTCCAATTACTGGAACGAGAGGAATGAGTGAAGAGATGGTCAATAGTTGGGGTACAAGAGGGTTTTTTTGGATCTCTAAAACCACAGTGAAGAAGTGAATAAAGTACAGAGTTGCATTTCATAATGACAGGGGTACACACTTAGAAATGCATTTCTAGGGGATTTTGTTATTGCGCAAAGATCAGCGTATGTACTTAAACTATGACAGCTGATGAGTGACACAATCATATGGGACAACCACAGTACGTGCAGTCTGTCATTGACTGAAATGTCAGCCTGAGGTGTGTGACTGTGTCCTCTAACGACTTCCCCTCCCATTGCTGGTCTGGAGTTGAACCATTAGCTTTCTAATAATCAGAAACAAACCAGAAAGAATGCAATATGTTGATGGACCTGGCTGTGGAGTTGGCTGTTATTTTTAAACAGTATGTTTAAAATTAGAGTTTCCCTAGCTATAATCTGTTGAGCCCAAGACTCCTAGACTTTTAACTAAATTTCTAAATTTCTAAAGCCAGGTGTGGTGACACAAGTCTGTAGTCCCAAACTAGTCCAGAGGCTGAGGCAGGAGGATTGCTTGAGCCCAGAAGTTTGAGGTCAGCCTGGACATAGCCAGACCCTGCCTCAAAAAAGAAACAAAACAAAATCAAATATGAAGTTCAAGAAATAGCAAGGAGTTTGGAACAGGAATAGACAAAAGTGTGAAATGAGTTTTAAGGTACCATGTCAGTGAAGTTGCCGGATTTCAAATTTTACCATGGATTCTTGAGCTTCAGAGAGCCATCCTGGTGGGTATGGGTCACCTTTGCCCTAATTGATATGCACTCATATTTGACTAGAAGATTTTTAAGTCTGGGGTTAATGCAAGTAATATTGGGCCTTCATCATCCATTTAATTCATTCATCCACTTATTAATTTATTCAATGGACATACCTACGGTGTGCTCATTACCGAACCAGGCACTGGGGATAGGAGATTGGGGAGAATGAAAACAAGGCAGCACTGGCCATGTGGAATGAAGAGTGCTGTGACTGAGGACACCAAGGCAATTGGGGTCCAGAGTAGCTGCTGATCCTCATCCAGAATGATGTACCTTGTAGGTTTCCAGGACAGGTGATCTTTAAGACAGGATTTAAAAAAAATTTAATAGGAGGAATGTATATTCTTGAGGAAAGTTGGAAAATACATAAAAATATGGAGAAGAGTGCTTGAATCAACGAGTCCCCCATGGAACAAGTCACCATTAACACATTCAGCCAGATGACCTGTTGAGAATTAGCTCTGTTTACTTGACACGGGCTCATCATGGAAGAATGAGAGGCAGATTTTCCTTCTTTTTTCTCAGGACAGTGGGTTGGACTGTAGGCAGTGGAAGTTCAGTCTTCCCTGACCTCAAGTCTAGTTCAAGAGAATGTAGGCCTGGCTTATCTGAAAGGGAGTGGGCTCTGGGATGAGAGAGAGAAGCAGGCAGCCTGACCTTGAGATTGGTCATTCCAGAGATTGACAGCAGAGATGGCCAGGGGATGGGGAATGCTACCCAGCCATCATGTAGCACCTCGAGTGTCTTCACCTCTTGTAGGGAAGCTGAGGGCTTTCAGGGGATGAAGCACTGAACACATTAGTGTTGAAATCTCTGGAAAAGCCCTAGTAATGGGCTTGGAGAGTAGGGAATGAGTCGCTGCCCTCTGGTCAAGCCTACTTTCCAATCTCAGTCCAATTCCATCCAGCGTACTTCTTCAGTCACTAACTAGCCCAGCCCACAGCCTGTGGTGGGGTGCTGGAAGGGAATCTTTCATGTGTACCTTGTGACTTTTTCTTTTTGACACTTTATGATCTGTTATATCTACCCCAGATATATCATAGTACACATTCCAGATACCCCAAGGGTCCCTAATTTAGACCTAACTTTGTGCTTTGAAGTACCTAAGTTAACTAAACGTGTACCAGAGGAAAATAGGTTTCAATTAGAGTCATAAACAAGAGAAAAAAAGGAAGGATACCTTCAGAATCTTGTAGTCTGAGTTTCTGGTAAAACCAAGAAACCACAGAAAAATGATTTCAGAGTATGGATGAAACAAAGGAAAAGGTAGAATCAAAATGGCTCAGCTCTTCAATGGGGTAATTCCCAGTTCTGTTGTACTGGGAGATTTCCAGTTACCATCTGCTTCTAATAGTAACATAGTAACAGAAGCAGAGTAAGGTAAGGCTTCTGACCTGAGTCATCTATTTTTCCCAGGGGCAGAGGACTTGCTATGGCTTGGGTTTGAATATGGTTTGTCCCCCAATGGTTTATGTACTGGGGAGATTTGGTCCTCAATGTGATGGGAGAAGTGGTAAAGCTTTAATAGGCAAAGCCAGTCAAAAGACTGGTCCTTTCTTCTTACTCTGGCATGTGGGCTCTTTTCCTTGTTCTTCTACCATCATGGTGCCATCTACCGTGGAGACCCTCTCCACAGCCCATTCTCTATTCATTGGGCTTTCAGCTTTCAAAACTATGAGCTAAATTTTTTCTTCATAAGTGCCAGTCTCAGGTATTTTGTTATAACAATGAAAAATGAGCAAATACAGGCCTCCAAATCCCCACATGGACATTCAGGCCTGGCCTTTCCCTAGTTTGAGACCTATGCTGGCCTGAGCATGGGACATGTAACCAGCTGTGCCTCCTGCTGCTCCTGGGACTCTGTTGGCTTCCTTACTGCTCTGGGAAGAGGTAAGCTGTTCCTGGGGCTCACACTTTGTCCCTAGCATTTGTGTCCCACTCTGATACCTTTAGCCCTGTGGAGGCTGAGATGGCGATAACTTGTCTTCTGCCCTTTTAACTAGGCTTATCTCTAGCACCCACAAATCCCTTTCTAGCAAAGGAAACGCCCTGGAACTTTGTCTGCAAATTCCTTTCTATTCTGCAGAGTTCCTCCCTGGATGATGTACTTTTAAGGTACTATGAAATTCTATCTGAGATACTAGAAGTTTCTGAGGACTCTCCCTCAGAGGTGAGCCAAATTAATCAATCAAGTAAAGAATGCAAGGCTGAAGGTGCCCAGTGGTTAGCCTGCTGAGTTGCACCTGTCTTGGTCCAGTTCTGGGCTATGAGTCCCTGGTGAGAGCCCACAGGACTGTCAGGATGATTTCCCTGGGTTGAACTTATCCCCAAAATAGACCTATCTCCCTTGAGATCCACTGTGAGTCTGGGAGTTCTCTTAAGCTGAATCCTCCCCCTGGAGTCTCTCCACTTAGTGTCCTTAATGGGTTTGCTTTCCAGGGAATAACAGTATCTCCCTTGGAGAGTTGTGAGGATTAAAGGAGCCACACATGCAACATCCCTGGCATAGTTCTTGGTGTAGAGGAAACAACAAATCTAGTAAGTTCACATATAATCAGATAGCTATATTATACAGATAAGTGCTGTACAGTATCATTAGCGAGATGGCCCACATGAACCTAGGAGAGAGTCCTCCTACCATACTTTGCCTTTGAAAGTAGCCACAGGACATTATAAAGCCATGCTTGGGGTCCTCTGCGATTTGTCTCTCTGTGACTTGTTTCCTCTGTGGATCTGGCCCTCTTTGATCCCTGGCTCTCTTTCTTGTCAAATAGCCTTGGATGGGCCACCTGCCTCCTTTCTCCCTGCCTGTTGATGAATCAGAGTTCTAGCCTCAGAATGTTCAGATCATAAGTGGTGGGGGGTGTCCTTCAGCAGCCCACATAGCAACATCATTTGTCTTCTTGGCAGTGAGGAGGCTTTTTTTTCCTTCAAGTTTTCATCAACTTTGGACCTTATCAAGTTGATAAATATATGTAGACTGATGATCCCTTCTGTCCCTGAAAATCATTTGATTTCATTACTTCACACAGACCAGTTCCTTGCAGGAGAGGATTAAGTGTGTATTTCCCAGAACTGTGTGCCTCTCACTCTGCTATTAAATGATATAGAAAAAAACTGTAGGAAGTGTTGAGCCAAGTGAATTTAACGAGTTTTGGTCCCAAGAGAGCAGAAAATACTTGACAGCCCAGGCTGTATAGTTTCTATACCATGTAGACATATTAACCAGCATGATGGATGCCTACTTCCACAGCTCTAACACTTATTCCTGAGCTATAACACTTCTGGGGACATCATGGAATAATGGTCCATTTTCCCCAGTGAGAATTAATAATCATATGAATGCAGGTTTCATGCCTAGAAAATGTATGCAAAAAATATTTTTAGGAAACAACACATATACCTGTATGCCTCTTTTGTATACCTGTCCTCACCTTCTTTTCTAGAACCCAGCCCTGCTGAGGCCAGGTAGCAGGAAGAGGCCTTTTACAATGAGACTCAAGGTACAGGTGAGCACAGATACTCTGTTCTCTTGATATGTAAGAAGGAGGATTGCTCATGGAAATTTATATTCTCAAGGTGCAGGATTAGATTGTCTGAGTCTTCTTCATTTTCTGCTGTTTCCCAGAACTTGAACCTGGAGCAGAGAATGGAACAGAGATTTTCTGATCCATTTGTATCAGAGAAGTATACAGGTGGTTTGGGAAAGGAGTGAAGGAGTCGAAGAAAAGGCAGAATGAAAGAAAGCATGAAGGCGTGGGTGAAGAGAAGGGAGAAGAGGGCACCTTTTTCAGGCTTGGCCTCAGGGTGTACAATAGCCAGGGTACAAAAGCCCACTTGTGTCAGTGAGCCCCGGAATCAGCTGGAGAAGATTAGAAAGGAAACTCCCAACTTTCTCCCACATGAAGGTTTCCCATTGGTAGAAATGTAGTGCTTGGACCTTGAGTAAATACTTGAATGTTTTTTGGAGCTGATTCTGGAATTTACTGGGTTAAACATAGCAATATCCCTCTTCATCCACCAAAAGGACTCAAGGTTGGAATGTGGTGATACAGTCTGAGTTTTTCTACTGAAATCAGTTACTACCTAGATGCTTGGTTTGCTACCCCATGCACACCAGTCAGCTAATAAGA